ACAAAATTATATAACACATTCAGGAAGCAAATATCATGTTAGAAAAATAAATAAATGCAGTACTTTTTATTTTTGGATTTTTTTTAGTATATACATAACAAGCACATTGCAAATAAAAAGAAAGTAACGTATGTGAGTATCTATTATTTTCGCAATCTTATTTTTTTTTAGTATTTACATTAACATAGCAAATAAAAAGAAAGTAATGTAAGTATTCATTATGTTTTTTAATATCTACATTTAATATATACAGTACTGAAAATGTGAAAGTGTGAACAACCCAATAATTTTTGTTGTTATTTAATTTAGGTTATTTTCTTATAAAAATATAGTTCATTCTTTAACTAAACCCGTGTAAATCCAAGTTTCAAACTTTGTACAATATTAAATAAAAATTCAATAAATATTTGTAAAAATTTCTAGCGTTTTTACTTAGATTTTCTCTATAAAGATTCTGAAGTTCTCAGCATTTAACACTTGTACTTTGTTTTACTAGAAACTTGGATATACACGGGTTTAGTTATAGAATGAACTATATTTTTTTAAGAAAATAACCTAAATTAAATAGCAAAAAAAAATTATATGTTAAAACTTGTCAAAATGTGGAGCGGCTATAATTATTTCGACCACAGTATATTAATATTTACCACTTATTATTATTTTTTTTTTTAATATTAACATTTACGAATCAATTATATAGAGTGCTTCACAATTATACATCACCCAGTTATTGAGAATTAGCGACCAATAATTTGTTTATTTTTTATAATTTGATAATTTTTATAATATTTGTATGAAAAATTAAGTTCATCTTAACAAATTTTTAATATACGTACATACATTTATTTCAGTTGAGATACGAAGTTTTTGAACCAAATTCTGGGATAGGGCGTTCTTCAACCGAATTCCGGGAATGACCGCTTTCGAACCGGCTGTCGATATGGTGTTTGTTAAAGAATGAACTTAATTTTTCATACAAATATTATAAAAATTATCAAATTATAATAAATAAACAAATTATTGGCCGCTACTTCGCAATAAGAGGGTGATGTATAATTGGGAAGCACACTATAGAGAAAATAAGAAAAAACTAATTACTAGTTACTATTTTGGCATTTTTTTCTAACTTGCTTATATCTATTGTGGCTTAAAACTACATAGTGCTTAATTGCTAAAATTTTATCAGTGTGCATACTTGCGAATGCGGCTGTTAATAATTAAAAATTAGTAGTGTACTACTGTTTAAATATCTTAATACTTACCAAGAACCAGGTCGACAGGTTTTAATTTTATTAGTGCCTTTTTCCCTGCCTTTCCATCGAAGTTGTACAGCCACACCAACTCGTCACTGAACAACGACTGCAGCACTTTCTCCAATGTACATCTAGATGTTTTCAGCTGGATGATGATGCCCGCCTTTAAACGTATTCGAGTTTATAAATATAAATATATACATATTTAATTAAAGAAAAAACTATACTCGTTCTTGAGCAGAACTGTAACTTACCATAGCGTCAGCGTGTGCCTTGTTTTGAAGGTGCTCCTCCACCTTAAGCAGGGTTTCCTCCGATGACATTGGTAGCAAACTTTGCAGCAAAGTTTGCTCTTCACTTACCAAGTCACCTGTGATTCGGCTTACACTGCGGTGGGTTTTTGCAGAGAGCACCTTGCATTCACGCAGCAGTTGACCCGGCGCCTGAACCTCACAACGCTCGGGCATCTGAAAATAAAATAAAGTTTAAAATAAAGTTAAAACATTAGTTAAATTTAAAAAACTTACCTTCTCGGCAAGGGCGCTTTCTACGGAGGAAAGCCTTCTCAATATTTCATCCTGTCGAGACTCCACTCTTCCAAGGGCAGCCAAAATTTGTTGTAGCGCTGTTGAATTTCATAAAATTTAAGTGTAAATTAAAAATTCATCAACATATGTATGCTGCTAATTTAATGTACCTGAGTCATTATCCACGGCAGGTTGGGTGGCCATACGGTCGAGGAAAGGCTGGGACACGTCGAAACGGCGAGATCCTCCAGCTATAATGAGAACGTTTCAATTAGGAGAGTGACACTAATATAATGAATACTGATTCTTCTTACCATTTGCCTGACTTATATCCGGCTCCTCCTCTCCATCAATTATAAAACTGAATTCCAGTTCTTTCTAAGTAAAATTATAAAATAAGTTATGTAACATAGGAATTAAAATAAATTTATTCCCTACTGGAATAGCAAAATACTTATGGTCTATATCTTCTCTCTTAATAATTTGAATGTCTTCATCTATAATTTGAGCTACAAAAATACCTAAATCAGATGAGGACACCACGGGCTCCCTAAAAATGTCCCCAAACTTTGTCAAAACTACAACGCCAAAACTGTCTGTTTGGGTTTGTTGGTTGACAATTTTTAGGGCTCCCGTTTTTTTTACTAAAGAAGAAATTATCTTTTTCTTTTTTGCAATTTATAATAAACTTATCTATTTGTGAAATTTTGCTAGAATCCGTAATATCTCTTCGTTCTTCTATTCTTAAAAATAGTTGCTGCAATATTTTATTTGGATTATTAATAATTTTTTTGATATATTGCATATAATTTTCGAATTTATATGCAGAAAAATTGTCTAAAGGACCAAATTGTTTAACGCAATCACTTAAATGCAAAAGACCATGGACATTGAAATTTATTAAGTGTTCGCCATAAATATTACTAAACAACTTTACAAATTCTTTTAACATTTCATTAGCGACATTAGATTCTACTTGACAAGACTTCTCACAAGAGAGAAGGCGAATACCGACATGCAACAAAAGAAAATGGTAATACAAGTTATCCGGTGTGCAGTCTTTCAAACCAAACAAGGCCGAGTACAATAAAAATTGCCGGTATTCTGTCGACTTCCAGTTGCTTATTTCATTTAGATCTCGACTGAGTCTGGAAAATTCAGAGGGAACGAACTTATTCAGAAACAATATTTTTTCATTCATCTTTGTTACGTTCCCTCTTTTAATAAGCAACTGGAGTAGTTTTTTAGTTACTCCTAAGTCAACTAAATGCATGGGTTCTAACGGAAATTGAGAAACTATGCCAATATTTACAGATTCCAGCAAGATTTCACACTGTCTAAATTCGCCTAAATGATGTTATATCTACTCTATTTTTAAACGAACTATCTGTTCTTAATTCTCCAACGTTTTGAGAAAAACAGACCCTTCTTTGTAAATACTGTCCTTGTTGAAGACGTTTAGGGCAGCTGTTTTTCCCAGTGTGTGACTTCACGCCAGTTATAAAGGCGCGAGCTGGTGTGTCACATGTAAAAAGTCTTACACTAAATTCTTTTAAAACCTGCTTAGATCCCACCCTTACACCATTCTGACTGAGAATTTTTATCTCTTCGCAAAACTCAGCAAGGAAATTATTAACATGGGATGGCTTTTTCATTCCTGAAAAGCAGGCAATAGTAAATGTGACCGAATTAGGAAAAGCTTCTACATGCCCCAAAATGGGCCACAATGCCCTTTTAAATAATTTCAAACCATCTATACCGACATCTACTGAAATTCTTTCCGTATTTTCTAAAAAATCAAAATCTTTGAAATTAAAATTATATTGTATTCCTAAATACAAAAAATCACCTTCAGGAGAAGGTCGAATTTGAATTATTTTACTACTTGTACCCAAAATGGTTCTTGCAGTTAAGGTAACCCGTTAAGTCCAGCATTATGTAAGGTTTGTAGGAGGTCTGTTAGGCTATTTTGCGAAATATTATTTCTGATTGCCCACGTTTTTAACCCCCTACAAATTTCCTCGCTTAGGTTTTTTTTTGCAGATTCTTCTGTGCTATCATCACTTTCGACATCTTCAAACAAAAACCTGTCATCATCGCTATTATATTCATCTATATCTAATTCAGGAAACACTTCCATAGTGCTGGACGTTAGATCACTATTTATTCCGCGGCAAAATGCTTCTCTACTCGTGGATGGAATATCATCGCTTTCTAACCCAGAAGTCGATTCATTCAGTTTGCGAAACTTCGCAACTGTTGCTTTATAATAAGCGTTTTCCTTACTTATAAGGTTAGAAAGCGTTCTTTTATGCATACCGTAATAAATAATGGTGTAAAGGTACGATCTAATAATAATTCTATTAATAATGATAATAATAGCAATTAAAGTAGTAATAAAAATAATAATATTATAATACTGTTATTATAATATTATTATTATATTAGATATTATAATAATAAAATTAATAACAGATACAATTTATATATATATCTAATCTCCGCTGACTTCTACTGTCTGTATTCCACGACCTGCAAAGAAAATATAAAAATAAAATTTGATAAAAAATAATATATAATAAAAAATATCGCAACAAAACCAAAAAAACACTTCATTGAAACGTCTATATATTATGGCCATAGGCAAGTGTATCCACATATCGTCGTTTAAAGTACAAAACCGCGTATCAAGATAATGCAAAACCGCGTATGTGAGGTTGCATAAATTATATTCCAGAGCGTAAAAACTCTCATATGTCAAAATGGTTTTCTTTTTTGTAAAGCAATCGCATTTCTGGCTAGTATATTTCAGAACGAATGGATAAG